GCTAGAGATTGATGAGTCTCCTACAGCCTTGGCTAAGAGAGATTTGTCTTTTAGCTCATGCAGTAGAGGCTCATGTGTTAAGCTCCAAAGGTCCCAGGTTTGATTGCACCAACAATGACAGGGGTCTGTCGGTGTTACACATACTAAGGGCAGCTAGCCACACCCATCTCTACTCCCTATTTTTAGCACACTAGCTTGATCAGAGCTATCACAGGTTTGTCTCCTCAAGCTGGAATTTATACCTTCCAGCTCAAAGTATAGACATACCTGCAAATACACATCCTGCTGTGGTTTATAGTCCTAAATTGGAAGAAATATAAACTCTGGCAACAGTTTACCAACCCATATGAAATGGTATGATGTAGTGAAAGTGCATTTGCTTGAATTTCTTGAGCCTTTCTTGTCCTTGGGTATGTGATGCCCTTGTACAATTGCAAGGCAAAAATAAACTGTTTTCCTCTTAACCAAACAGATATAGCTGAAATTACTGAAAAGATTTGAATTGGGGAAATTACAGTTCCTTGCTTAGTATGTATTGTGCATACCCTACAGCCTTCCCTAACCAGTAACTCCCAATTTCATTTAAATTGTAATGATTTCCTTTAAGGACAATTACATGCCCAAGAGCAATGCATGCATAATAATGCTGCTTTGGCCTGGTTGAATGTAGAGGAGAGTAATAACTGTTTATTAATATGATAATTAACTGTTAATGCTTAGCAACCTAATTATATCTGTTAAACAACTTACAGTTTTGAGCCAAATTTTGGTAGAAGGAATTCTATTAAAAATAAAAAAATGCTATGAATATCATAGGAAAGCCACAATTAAACTTTAAAAGGCTGTATTCTGCCTTGACTTACACCAAATGGATTCTGGATTTTTGCGTATTGTGAATTAAAATTGGCTCTAAGGTCTTCCGTGTTCTAATTATGTGCAGGCGGCATTGGAATCTGGTGCATATTCAGGAAAGCCCAAGTACTTGAGGTGGCTGTGCATAACTGAAAAAGTAGGAAGAAAATTAACTAGTCCCTCCAGATGAGAACATTGTACCTACAGGGTCATTTAAAAAAAAATCACCTGTTTCTGTACTCACTTAAACTCACAGGATATTTGACTCTAAGTGGGTGAATCTCCACTGAAGTCGAGAGAGGTACACAAGCTCATAACAGTGGGAAATTTGGGACCATTTTATTATAGACTGTCCCGAAATACCTGCCCCTGATCCCCCAGCAAACAACACTTGGTTGAAGAGATAAGAGGATACCCTAATGCCTTTTGAGTTCCTTTCATCATCTCCTGTCCCTGAATTTTGATAAAAAGCCACTAGTCCTGATGCCAGTTATTTCTCCAGTATTTGCTCCAAGTCTGAGCTTGGAGTTTGAATGCCTGGTTTGCTGTCATTTCATCAAGTATACTCTGACTAATCTATCCCACAGTCATCACCATTGTATCTGAAAGCCTAACAAAATTATATAAAGCTAATATGTTTGGGGTTTTCTTTTGTTATTGTTCCTTAACATCTTCTAATAAAGCTAGCACATGGTGGCCACTGCTTTATGAAAATATATTTAGAAGAGTATCATCCTGCATGAAGTCATATTTGTGATCCTTCTGGTCTCTTGTAGAAGGAGGTCTATGCTACGGGGCAAGTGCTATAAAATCTCTGTTCCCTGTTCCTACAGTTCTCCAATGCTATAAAAGCTCTGTTCCCTGTTGCTACAATTCTCACCATAGACACTGACAGCTCCATTCTTCAGCATAAGTAATTGAAGTGGTAGGACCTAATGCTGGAAAGAAAGTTCCCTGTGATGCTTGGGTGAAGCCCATTTGCATATCAAGACCAAGATCTTGAGTTTAATCTGGTATTGGAATTGAAAGCAAGTATCATTTACAGAGCTCTGGTCATATGGTCTTTGTTCACTTAGCTGGAAGAGAGACACATATTGAACTGGCTGGACAAGCTCTTTACTGTGTGATGTGTTCTTGTAGCCATGTCAGTGCCAAGATATTAAAGAAAGGGTGAGGTAGTATCTTTTATTGGACCAACTTCTCTTCTTGGTCTTATTGGACCAAGCTTGTCTCTCAGCAGTAGAAGTTGGTCCAATAAAAGATATTACATCAACCACTTTGTCTCTTTAAGCATTTTTCTGACATTCCAAGGGCCTGGTGATAGGCTTATATTAGAGGGGAAAATGGGATGATGAGGAAATTAGGGCCTGTCATAAATATAAAGGGAAGGGTAAACCCCTTTGAAATCCCTCCTGGCCAGGGGAAAGCTCCTCTCACCTGTAAAGGGTTAAGAAGCTAAAGGTAACCTCACTGGCACCTGACCAAAATGACCAAATGAGGAGACAAGATACTTTCAAAAGCTGGGAGGAGGGAGAGAAACAAAGGGTCTGTGTGTCTGTCTATAGTCTGTCTTTGTCGGGGATAGACCAGGAATGGAGTCTTAGAACTTTTAGTAAGTAATCTAGCTAGGTACATGTTAGATTATGATTTCTTTAAATGGCTGAGAAAAGAATTGTGCTGAACAGAATAACTATTTCTGTCTGTGTATCTTTTTTGTAACTTAAGGTTTTGCCTAGAGGGGTTCTCTATGTTTTTGAATCTAATTACCCTGTAAGATATCTACCATCCTGATTTTACAGGGGGGATTTCTTTATTTCTATTTACTTCTATTTTTATTAAAAGTCTTCTTGTAAGAAAACTGAATGCTTTTTCATTGTTCTCAGATCCAAGGGTTTGGGTCTGTGGTCACCTATGCAAATTGGTGAGGCTTTTTATCCTCACTTTTTATTTCCCAGGAAAGGGGGGGTGCAAGTGTTGGGAGGATTGTTCATTGTTCTTAAGATCCAAGGGTCTGGGTCTGTAGTCACCTAGGCAAATTGGTGAGGCTTTTTACCAAACCTTGTCCAGGAAGTGGGGTGCAAGGTTTTGGGAAGTATTTTGGGGGGAAAGACGCGTCCAAACAGCTCTTCCCCAGTAACCAGTATTAGTTTGGTGGTGGTAGCGGCCAGTCCAAGGACAACGGGTGGAATATTTTGTACCTTGGGGAAGTTTTGACCTAAGCTGGTAAAGATAAGCTTAGGAGGTTTTTCATGCAGGTCCCCACATCTGTACCCTAGAGTTCAGAGTGGGGGAGGAACCTTGACAGGGCCTAATTAAGTGTAGGATAGTTTTATTTTCTTAAAGGTGCAAGAAGAAAGAATGCATGCTGAAATCTTTGATCTCATATCACTTATGTAAGAAAATAAAATATAAAATGGGAGTGTACAATATCATTTCTCTGTATTCTCAAACTTGGGGAAACGTATCCATCTTTCAGCAAAGAAATGGATTACTGGCAAACTAAAATGGCTGAAAGTGTTCTGATATCTTTGACCAAACTATTTCAGGGTGATTCATTTATTGCATTAAGAGCTATTAAAACAAAATTTAAGATCCCTGACTTTCCACTTTTTTCTTTATTTCAGAATTAGAAATTTTGCTGCAGTGAGGACAATTAAATCCCATATTATTACAGAGCTGATGAAGTAAAAATACTTTTTATTTTTCCATAACTCTTTCATGGATCTTGCAGTCAGATTATATAGAGAGCATTAGGAACTGGACTGACACCAGAGGTGAAAGGCTCCCTAGCCCAATCTCAATCTCTTTAGCTAAAATATTTTTAAACCCATGAAAACATGCAATAATCATGTTTTCCCACAATTCGGATTCAAATTATTATTGATAGGGGCTCAATGCACACCAGTGCATTTAAGGGGAATCAGTTCTACAGTGCTTTGTTACCCCCAATTACAATCAATTGCCATTAGATCCTTATTATCCAGAGAGAAAAAGAATAAAATGTAGTGGTGCCCCATACACCAATGCTTTCTTCCAAAGACCTTGCTCCCTGGACATATAAAACAAATAAGCCAAGAAAATACAAAATAGAAGCTTTCAATCTTCTCCCATCTTTTAGGAATTCCATTCTCAAGGGCCTAGTACAAGCTCTACACAAAAAAGGGGGAGTTTAGATTGTAAAGTCCTCAGAACAGTGACCTTGCTATTTTTTAAACTTGTCTGTAAAGCACCAATGGGTTCGTGTAAATAACCAGTGCTCATGTGTGTCTGGTCAAAAGAGTTTGCTGACCCCACAAATAACATTTCTACAGCTAAAAGAATGAGGAGTACTTGTGGCACTTTAGAGACTAACAAATTTATTCTGATTAGTCTTGTTAGATTTGGTATGGCAACACCCATTTTTTCATGTTCTCTGTATATATATATATATCTTCCTACTGTATTTTCCACTGCATGCATCTGATGAAGTGGGCTTTAGCCCATGAAAGCTTATGCCAAATAAATTTGTTAGTCTCTAAGGTGCCACAAGTACTCCTTGTTCTTTTTGCTAATACAGACTAACATGGCTACCACTCTGAAACATTTCTACAGCTGGAGCTGGATTCCTAAGAGGCACACATTTCAACCATCCCTGGGGGTGGGGACCCTCTCATTGGTTGCATTCCCCACCTCCCGGGATATAAGCAGCCAATCAGATCCATAGCAGAAAGTAGGTATAGCTCTTCTCAGGAGCAGAAAAAGCCCAGGCCAGCACTGCAATTCAGGGTGACTCTGCTCCTTCTTCTCAGTCTGTGAGCAAGGGAATGGTTCTTCTGATCTTCTTCCACCCCTTTTTCCTCCCTGAAACACCCAGCTTTGGGTGAGGGAAAAGAGTCCCCACAGCAGCCCACTCCAGGCTTGGGAGAGGGGGTTGAAGAGCCCCAGGAGCTGCAGGGAGAGTGGTGTTGAGGCTGGAGGGTAGGGAGAGACGGGAAAAAAACTGGGGGCAAAATTGGTTGAGGGTGCAGAGGTGGGCAGAACTGACGGTGGGAGTAAGGGGATTGGTAAAATGGGATATCGCTTTCCTTTTCGTAGAACATGTTAGACCTTTTTCAGATCACTTTAAGCACTGAAAATAATAATATTAAAAGAAAGGGAAAATTACTTACTGGTAATTCCTTTGGTAATTCCTTTAGTTGTTATCTTCTCCTCATCACCATATATTGTTGCAATTCTTTCTTTCATTTCTCTGTTTGTGGACTTCCTGCTCTAGAAAGGAAGTGAGAGGACTGGGTCATCATATATATGTGTGTGTGGAGATAGATAGATAGATGCACACACACCCACACACACATCCCATACACACACACACACACACACACACACGATTTTTGCTTTCTTTCATCCTAACGGGCAGAGCTATAGGGCTGTATGTCATTACATGCTCTCTCTATCATGTCAACACATACAAATCCTGGAGCATGTTCTCTCCTGAAGCCCATTTATTGTTCTGTGTTGAGTATAGTGATTGTCCTCAGCAGTGCACAGAATAGGGAAGACAATGCATGCCACAAAGACTTACCAATACCATCTGAGTTAAACACAGAAGTACAGTCCACATAAATTAATACACAAATAAATTCAGTGATACATAAGTCCCGAAGTATAAGTCAAATGAGTGTTCATGCTTTTTTTCCCCATTGTGTTTCCTTGTGTTGGTGCAGGGTAGAGAGTTTCCTTATCATCATGGGTGTAAATTCAGCCATGATCAAATTTGCTGATAATGGAAGAACTGGAGTAATAAAACAACAGAAGTGGAGAGAAGCAAACTGCAATGTGATATGGAAAGATTTGAATAGTGGGCTATAGGCAATGAGAAAAGTAAAGTGATACAAATAAAGACAGAAATAAAGAGAGGTAAAAATTAGGGAAGAGACATCTGGAAAGCAGCAAGTCCCAGAAAGACCTGCAGGGAATAGTAGCTACAAACTAATTAAGAGCTCCCAATGCAAGTCCATTGTGAAATGCTGTTTATTTCTCACATCTATATATAAAGAGATTCTATGCTCATTGTTAATGAGTACCTATTCAGAACTGGAATAGGCTTGAGTTACAGAAAATCACAAAATAATTGCAGTGTTGTAAAGCCATTTCATTGCAACATGTCAGCATCATGTATTGAGTGGCACCACAGTGCCAGGGTCACAAAACAATATCAGGACATTACACCAAGATTTTTTTGCCTTTGTTTGACATCTTTTTCTATGTGTGGATGCCTCTTCTTCTCCAGTTCCATCACTCAAGTAATGGGGAAGGCTCCTGATTATTTCAGTCTGTTTCTTAAGCCCCACCATGTACCAAGAAGTGTGGGAAGTGCTCCTATGCTCAGTATTACTCACTCTGTTCATTCCAGTCAAACACTGAAGATTCTTGAACAGCTGCATACACTGCCCCAAGAGATTTCAAGTTGAAAAGCTTTGTCTTTAACTTCTTGAGCCTCAGACTAAGTATTGTCTTTAAGGTAATATACAGGAAGGAAATTAATTAGTCACATTCTCAGAAAATATTAGGATAAGAAGCAGTGGCCAGAAACTAAGGAAGAGAAAAGTTAGGCTAGTTATTAAGAAAAGGTTCCTAAATGCATAATAAGGGCTAAACACAACCCTAATGTACACAGGGACAACTGCATTGTATTCTCTGGAGTTGTCCCAACTTACAGCAGGCTGAACTCGGTTCTCAGTGTAATTGGTCAGCAAAAGAAAAGCCCAGGAGAATGGACTGAGGCACTATCAGCACAGACATTCAGGAAAAGTTTACATAAGACTAATGACACAGGGTTGTGCAAGATCAGTTTTACCTTCCTAATAAGAATAAGATTAAGACTTTAATATCAAATGTGGAAAGAAAATATGTGTGCCAGAGAATCAGTTTACTATGTATTAAGCAGTGATGGACATCTGAGAGGTATCTGGGATAGATAAATACATTTGCTAAATAGGCCACATGACCGATCCACTCCACCATTCTGGAGTAAGAACTGAACCCTGGTGTTACCACACATAGAGCAGAAGTCTGCCTTTGGATACATGTGGGAGTCTTCTGCTGACATCAGGCACATAGGCAAGGGCAGAACTTGGCCCACAGTGAAAACATCAGGGTTGGGTGGGGGGAAGAGAGGTTGTTCACCTTGTGCAGTAACTGACGTTCTTCGAGATGAGTGTCCCTGTGGGTGCTCCACTTCACAGGCACATAGGCAAGGGCAGAACTTGGCCCACAGTGAAAACATCTTTAGAAGCCAGTCAGGGTTGGGTGGGGCGAAGAGTAGGTTACTCACCTTGTGCAGTAACTGACATTCTTCGAGATGAGTGTCCCTGTGGGTGCTCCACTTCAGGCCTTTGAACAGAGATTTCTACAGCAGCACTCCTACGGGCTGCACACGTGCTGTGCCTTCCTCTCCAGCTGTCAGTGTTTGAACAGTGCGTGCACAGCCCGGGCTCCTCAGTTCCTTCTGTACAATGGAGTGTGTTACGAATTAAGAAATAGAGGGGAGGAGGGTGGGTAGTGGAGCACCCACAGGGACACTCATCTCAAAGAATGTCAGTTACTGCACAGGGTGAGTAACCTCTTCTTCTTCTTCGAGAGATGTCCCTGTGGGTGCTCCACTTCAGGTGACTGAAAAGCAGTATCCCTTAGGATGGTTGGGACTTCGGATGAGGCAAGAAGGCTGTTGACAAGAAAGCTCTACCCATCTGCAGTGTGGATGAGAGCGTAGTGACTGGCTAAGGTAAGGTTCGATGCCCAGGTAGCTGCCTTGCATATGTCAGACAGTGGGACATTACGGCAAAAGGCCGTGGAGGTGGAGACAGCTCTGGTAGAGTGTGTTCTAATTGATTTAGGAGGGTGTATTTGCCTGAGTTGGTAACAAAGGCATATGCAGTCAGCAATCCATTGGAAAAGTCTCTGTGTAAAGATAGCATTTCCTTGTGAATGCTGAGTAGTAGAGACAAAAAGTCTGGGGGGTTTTCTGAAGAGTTTTGTTCTATCCAAGTAAAAGGATAATGCTCTGCGAACATCAAGAGTGTGCATTGTTGTTTCAAAGGCATTAGTGTGAGGGTTTGGGAAAAATGTTGGGAGGTGTATAGGTTCATTGAGGTGAAAGGAAGAGCGTATCTTAGGTAAAAACCTTGGATGCGTGCATAGTGTGACCTTACCGTGGAAGAACGTGGTATACGGAGGGTCCGCCATAAGCACCCCCATTTCACCTACTCGTCTGGCAGACATGATTGCTATGAGGAAGGCAGTCTTCATGGACAGATGGAGAAGGGAGCAGGTAGCCATCAGATCAAAGGGTGTATCCATCAGGGCTTTGAGGACTAGGTGTAAATCCCAAGGTGCAGCAGGAGGGTTCACGTCTGGGTATAGTGTCTGGATGTCCTTCAGGAACCTTTTGGTCATTGGATGGGCAAAGACCATTACGTTGTCAGTCTTATGGTGGGAAGGCTGTGATTGCCATGAGGTGGACCTTGAGTGAGCTTGTAGAGAGGCCAGATGTTTTAAGGTGTAAAAGGTAATCAAGTATCAGTGGAAGTGAAGCAGAAACTGGAGAGGTCTGCTTGTCAGTGCACCAAGGTGTGAAGCGTTTCCATTTATGCAGGTAGGTAGTGTGCGTGTTGTGTGTTCTGCTGTGTAACAAGACATTGCGTACTGGGTCCTAACATGTTAGCTCCGCATTAGAGAACCATTGATCAGCCAGGCCCTCAGCTGGAGATGTTGTACGTCAGGGTGAAATAGTTGTCCCCTGCGTTGTGATAGGAGGTTGCTGAGGGAGGGAAGGGGAATAGGTAGCTTGATCGACATGCAGAGGAGGAAGGGATACCAGGGTTGTCTGGGCCACGCTGTGGCTATGAGAATGATGTTGGCTCTGTCTGTGCGTATCTTCTGAATTACTCGATGCAATACAGGTATTGGTGGGAACGCATATATTAGGGTTTCGGTCCAAAGGAGCCTAAAGGCGTCTCCCCGTGAATGTTTCCCCAGGCCCGCTCTGGAGCAAAATGTCGGGCATTTTTTGTTTGTTGCTGTGGCAAATAGATCCTGTTGGGGATAACCCCAGGTGCAGAAAATGTTGGAAAGAATGGTGTCATTGAGTTCCCACTCGTGCTGTATGGGGAACGATCGGCTGAGCTTGTCTGCAGTGGTATTCTGAGAACCTTGCAGGTTTGATGCGAAGATATGGATATTGTGTTGAAGGCATCAGTTCCAAAGTTTTACCGCCTCTGTGCAGAGGGAGTGGGACCGGGCTTCCCCTGTCTGTTGACATAAAACATGCACGCGATGTTGTCAGTCATGATTCAAATTCGGCGGTTTTGGATGATGGGAAGGAAATGGAGGCAGGCATTGCGTACAGCTCGGAGTTCTAGTGAATTTATGTGAAGCTTGGTTTCTGAAGTGGTCCAGAGACCCTGAGTGGTGAGTGGTGAGGTGGCCATCCTGTGAGGGATGCATCTGTGGTGATGGCAATTGAAGGGGGATCTTGTTGGAAGGGAATCCCGGTGCCGAGGTTGATGGGAGAAGTCCACCAGAGAAGTGAGTCCTTGACATTCTGGGGCATAGTTAATAACCTGTTTAGCCTGTGCTTGTTTGGTTTGTATACTGTAGCTAGCCAACCCTGAAGGCAACGCATGTGCAGGCGAGCATTTGCAACTAAAAAATGGAAATTGCACTTAAAGTAGGGCAATTTATTTTGTCCTACCTTGAATATCCACAGCTGTAACTTACTAAATGGGGCATAAAATTATTGAAATGTGTGGCTTCAGTTTTGCCACTTTTTGTAAAACTAGCATAAAATAAAAGCGTCATGCTTTTGTAACAACCACAAGTCAAAGAAATGTACTGAAAAATGTTTTTTACCATACAAACAAAAGGACAAGATCCATATCCACTGACATATGAAATACATAACAAAGGACAATGTAGTATGGACGATTCTTTAAATTCCATAGCTATATGTTAGATTATTATTTAATCATTATTTGTATATAATGTCATAATTATGCCCAGTGTTTTGCAGAGCAAATAAAGGTGTGAGATTTAATCCTGGCCCTATTGAAATAAATGGCAAAACTCCAATTGATTTCAATGGGACCAGGATTTTTAGCCAGGGTCCCTACTCTAGAGATTACAGTTTGCAGCCCTGATCATGCAAACACTTATGCACAAAACACTCAGTGATATTACTCACATTTGTAAAGTTACTCACATGTGTAAAT